CCCCCCCCCCCCCCCCCGCCCCATCATCCAGCAGCAGAACCACAGCATGATGCCACCACCACCGTACTTACACTTAACGTTGTTGTTTGTTGCCATGAACAAATGACTGAGTCTTTGTCTCACCGGACCATAAAACATTCGTCCAGAAGAACTCGTGGAAGGAACTTGAAGACGTTGCTTCTCAGTCGGTGCCGTTCCAGTCCAGGATGGAGTGAACCCGACTGCAGGGTTCTGGTTCTGCAGCTCCCACAGGAAGCGCCAAGACTCAAGGCTTGGTGGTCACTGAACATCTTGTTTCCCTTCAACTGAGGCGGACAGTCAGTTGTTATTTGTTTATTTATTTGTTTATTTCACATACTGTACTCATGATGTGAAATAAGTGAAATTAAACTAAAGTTGACAGGGAGTTGTTTGTGTTTGACGTCATTAATGCACAACTTTAAGCTCTATATTGTTATTAAAAAGCAGACGACATTTTATTATTTTATTATTATTATTTTAACATTTTAAATGAAAACATGGCTTCTTTAATGTTTTTATTGGCCAATTCATTTCATTGTTAGGGGTTACTGTACAGTTTTATATGGTTTCAGCACAATTTTGAAGTAAAAGCAGAAAACTTATTTTTATTATTAACCTTCATGTGATCCACTGAGACCACAGATCTGGGTCTCAAACATCTGGACCTGAAGGCAGCCTAACGTGCACGTTTGGCACTGTGGAGCAGGTCCAACCAGGGATTGAATCCAGAACCTTCTTAATGTGAGGCAACAGTGCTAACCACTGATCCATCATGCTGCCAACTATTTACAAAATACCATACATTATTCCATTAATCTGATTCTTTTGTTTTTAACCCTTCACACACAGATGTGCTAACACTCAAGCACTTTGAGCATCTTTCTTTCCTTCTTGCTTTTTTACAGTCACCGCTAAGACGGAGATTAGGGCCACATTAAGAAAAAAAAAAAATTAAAAGCCATAAAATTACAAGAATAAAGTCATACAAGACTTTTTTTTTTTTTACAGCTCTTGTTTATTTTTTTTAATTATTTTTCCACGAGTCAGATCCACGACGCGACCTGTCAATCAGTCCAGTAGGCGTGTCAGCAAATGACCAATCCGAAGCTAATTGCTCGTTACCTGCAGAGCTGCTGCAGCCCATCAGAGCGTACCACCTTGCTGTCAGCAGGTTCAACGTCCTGACACTGATAATAATCTGATGCTGATGTGCCAACAGATTATTTGTAAATCCAATACCAAAGTAAAACTTAACAAGATGCTCAACATTCTTCAGTTTACCACAGTTAAAATGCAGTAAACCTGCTCTATGTGTCAGAGTTCAGATAATATTACGACTCATTTAGTTTCAGATTGGTCATTTGCTGACACGTCTACTGGATTGATTGACAGGTCACGTCGTGGATCCACTAGTGGGAAAAAAAAAACAAAAAAACACTAGAGCTGCAAAAAGACTCCTACGACTTTATTCTCGTAATTTTATGGCTTTTAATTAGTTTTTTCTTAGCGTGGCCCTAAAGCTCCGTCGTACACCACGAGGAAAGTCTGAACAAAACAAAAGCTGCAGACTAAAGAAAAGTTCTGGCTGTGAACCCAAATCCACCAGCAGTTCTGCAGGCCTGTTCTCCTTGTTGTGCAGAAGAGCTCCGTTTGACTAAACTACAGTAAAACTCTGTGCAGAGCACATTTCATCACCACCGCAGGTTGTCTCTTTATTTGCACATGGGAAACAGCACTCCATGTTAGAACAGATGCACGGTTTTCTTGCACGATTAAATGTGATTATTGTGTTTCCAGTGCAGCTCGCCTGCGTTTGCACACCTGCTGGGTGTTAAACCAGTCGCTTCATGGATGCAGTCATTTGTAAATGTGCTGTTTTCCACTGCGGTGTCATTGCATCTGCAGATAAATGTTTAGTTTTTCATTAAAACTCTTTTTCTTTAGTATTTTGACACATCTGGGCTGCTGTTCTGCTGCTTGAGTGTAAAATCTCTTTTAACGTGTAATTAATTATAAACAATAGCCTACATGTTTTCATGTTTTTCAGTAGTTCAGGCTGCTGTTTAATACACCGTATTATTTTAAATTATTATATCTTAGATCATTACATACTGTTTCTTTTTATACTTTTGTATTTTGGGCTGTAACTGAGACCCTGAGTACACAATTTTGTTCCACCTCATGTACCACGTAATGACAATAAAGAACCTTGACCCTTGATGCTTTTCTCTTTTACAATTTTCAATTTATTTTTCATCATTCTGTAAGTTGCATGTGAGCCAGCCACCCCACCCCCCACCCCCCCGGCCTGATTTGGCCCGAGGACCATCAGTTTGTTTTGCTCTGAGTCTCCTCAGTTTGTTAGCTGAGCATCATTTCTGCTCGGAGATGATCAGACTAACTCCTCACATCCAACAGATGCTGCTCATCAATCATAATGTTTGATCAGATTAAAAATGTCCACCATCTCTTATCCACGAGGAAAGCAACACAAGCAGGAAGAAGAAGAGGAAGAACTCTTTTTAGTGTTTTTATTGGACTTTTCCATGTTTCTTCAGAGTTCATTATAAAATAGAAAGTCTGGACAATAAATAAAACAATAAAACATTCAGAATATTTCAGATTGCAACATTCATAGTTTACACATGTAAACATCTCCTGAGTCTGTAGATAAGGGATGCGCGCGAGTCTCACAGAAGCCACGTGACTCTGACTGACAGAACAGCTTCTGGAACGCGTCGCGTGTCCATAGCAACGGCGCGCGGCACCCCCCGGGGCGCATCCAAACGTCCCAGCTGCGCGTGCAGCGCTGAGCGCGCGCCTCTCCAACGGCCGCAGCCTCCTTGAAGCAACACTTGGTTTTCCCGGCAGCCCCCGCGCGCTCCTAGCTGACCACGCAGCGCTCCTTGTCTTTGCCCTGCCCCGCGCCGATGGCCTTCTCCTTAATGTACAGGAGGTCGCTGTGCACGCTGGGTCTGCGCGCGCACGGGGTCACCACGCCGTACGCCTCGCCGATGTTCTTCAGCTTCTTGCTCTTCAGGGACTTCCGGTGCAGCAGGTCGCAGTACTGCACGGACACCTTCCGGTGCAGGTCCGGGCTCATCTCGTGCGGCAGCTTGGCCAGAGAGAACAGCGTCTGAAACATCTTGTCCACGTTCTCGTTGCGCTTCGCGGAGATCTCGAAGTACGCGCACTTGTCGTCGCCCGCCACGAGCTGCTCGATCTCCTCCTGCTGCACCTCCCGGTGGAAGTCCCTGTCCCCCTTGTTGCCGCAGACCACCAGAGGAACATCGATGTTCTCCTTCATCTTGTTCTTCAGGCACGACTTGGTCTCGTAGATCTGCCGCTTGAGCCGCTGCACCTCCTGGAAGGACTCCCGGTTGTCCAGGCTGAAGACCAAGATGAAGACGTCTCCTGCAGGAGGGGGAGGAACAGGTGAACTTTCTGGACGCGCGCGCATTAAACGGTGCACATTAAGAAGTCCGGGAGCGGAACGTACCTGTGAGGATGGAGAGTCTCCTCATGGCGGGGAACGGATGGTTCCCTGAGGTGTCCAGGATGTCCAGCTGGTACACGTCCCCCTTGATGCTGTACAGTTTCCTGTGGAAGTCCTCGATGGTGGGGGTGTACTGCTCCTCGAACCGGCCGTTCAGGAACCGGGACACGATGGCGGTTTTGCCCACCTTGGTGGAGCCCAGGATCACCATCCTGTAACAGTTCTTGGCAGGGATGTCGAAGTCGCTCTCTGACGGAGACATCTTCTTGATCATCTTTTGATTAGTCCCGTGCGTAAAGAAGCAAACAAACCCGCGCGTCGGTGCGTAACGGTCGGAGTGTGTGCGCGCTCTGAGCGTCTCCAGCTCCAGAGCGGGGCTATTTAAGCGCTGCGGTCCCTCCCCCTCTCCTGAGCGCGTCACGAGTCCGAGAGCAGCAGCTCCCAGTGGTGCGTCAGGCTGCCGCTTCCAGTGAAGACGGGCCGAGCGCGCGGAGGAGCAGAACTCCCACCAGCAGACATCCTGCAACAAACAAACTGGCGCAGCAGAGCCGTGCGTGACAGCAAAATAACTGCTTCCAGAGAAAGAGGAAGTGTTCGGGAGCAGCTTTCCTTATAACTCTGGCAGAGACCTGCTCAGTCTGCATGCAGAAAACAAATCAATCAATGTGTGCACGTGAGCCAGACTAGAAAGAGGAAAGACATCAGACCGAGGTTCTGTCAAACTTGTTTGTCCAGAAGTCACAGATATGGATTTCTTCAGCCACAGTGACCCCCAGCAGCTGCAGTGCACAGGGACACCAACAGGGGGCGCTCAAGTTCGAGTTTCTTCACTGTTTACTTCACCTGAGAGAGACGGCAGGACTGAAACTCAAAGTATCTGCAAATATCAATAATAATAATAATAACAGTAAGCTTTATAAGCCCATAATTAATGCAGTTATTATCATTATTATCATTATTAAGGAGGCAAAATGTTCCAACAAAGTCAACGAAGTCCAGGCTCAATAATCCAGGTATACAATCCAACAATTTTCAGTCAGGTCATCTGGACAGTTGCTTTCTTTTTTCGTTGTTGTTGTGCTGAAACGTTTCACCTTCTATCCAGAAGGCTTCATCAGTCAAGGAAAAACACAAAACTGATTCTTCCCCCAAAGTGGAACAAACCAGTTTGACATGACTGTCGATGAGGGAGATGGCCAGCTCTGGAGGAGGGGGCGTGCCAAAGACACCATCTTAGCACCAATATAACTGGTTTGTTCCACTTTGGAGTAAGCTGTTGGGGGAAGAATCAGTTTTGGTCCATGGTGGTTTTAGGCATGTACAAAAATCCCACAGTGAGGTGGTGCTGGTTCATCACCAGTGTCTGTTGTTTTTAACTCAGTGACCTGAACCCTGGGTGTATGACGGTAGCAGCACGTTGAGTTCGGGGGGGGAATGAAGGCAGCAGTGGCAGCACATCTTAACATTTGAGTGACGTTTTAAGTAAAGGTGCTCAGTGTTTGAGTTGGGGATGACTCTTGGCTACTACCACACCAAAGTTAAGCGTAATGTGTGTAAAACTAACTGACTTGTCATTATTGTGTTTTATAGGAGTGATGAGCTTTGGCAGCCTTCTTGAACTGGGTTGACTCAAAAAATGTAAACTGATGTGGACGTACAACCATCGGCTTTGTCAAAAACTGATGTCGCTCACCGAGTCTCCGTCCACATGTACGAAATGCACGAAAGCCAAGCGGTGAGTCACCTGTCAGTCTGGACGAGGTGGGAGCCGTGCACACATCCAGTTCTCTGAAGCTCTATCAGCACAGATAAGCAGAGCACGCATGATGCACAGTCAACACAGAGCCTAATCGCACCGGCTACATTTCTGATATTATACGTGCTTATCATGTGCGATGGAGTAGATTGGGCTGTTTTGACTGTCTGACCCACCATCACACATTGTTAATCTATGAGTGTGGATAAAACAGTCGGAGACAAAGGTCACCACGGCGACATATGACTTGTTTGACAGGGAAAAGATGTCTGGCCTGGACGAAAGCTACGACCCCAGCTCCAAAAACAACTTTGTGTGAAATGTAAATTAAAAAGATTGCAGTGATTTGAAAATATTTTTGCAATGGAGCAAAGTAAACACATCTAATGTTTAAGTTAATAAACTGACCAATTTTTAGGGAAAGTAAAAACCACATGAGTTTGACGGCAGCAACTCCTCTTCAACAAACAGAAACTGAGAGCAGCTGCCTGAGGATTTGAAGGGACATGTCCCGTTCTTGTTGGTTCTAGGTGTTCTCACATGGACCGGTCCTGGACCTGTTCACGCAGTCCTGTCTGAGCGACAGGAGACCACAGGCAGCCATTATTGACTTTTAGTCTTGTTCTTTGAGCTCAGAGATTTGTCCAGATTCTTCAGATCTTATCATCAGGAACTGCTGATGATGTTCAACGTCTTCATCAATCTTTCATCAAGGGACAAACTTCTGTAACTGTTCCTCAAAGAACCTCGGCCCATCTTTACTTCTGAACGATCCAGCCTTTGGAAAATGCTCATTTTATACCCAGGCCTCTTACTGACCTGTTGCCAGCCAGCCATCCAGCCAGCCAGCCAGCCATCCATCCATCCATCC